GTCTAATTCCGTCAGTTTAGCTGTTACATCTCCTTGTTTTCTCTTGTGCTTTGGTTAGCTGTACATTATAAATGCAAGCTATTACATTTTTTATAATGCTGCCGAACTTGCTGCTGATAGCTACAGTACAGCTTGATTAAATGGTTCGCTCGTCACGCAAGGCATCCCATGACATGAAAGGGAGCAAGGTCATTGGACAGACAAATTACAAATTAATTTAGGTTGCTTGATTACTTTGAAGACTGTGTGAACCGGTCAATGCCATTGGGCCGCTGGCCGGCTCTGGGCCCCGGGGCGTTGTACCGGCTGCACCGTCGATAGTTACGCCTCTGGATGGGACGCACTAAGGCAGCTTTAAGACATGCTTAAGTGTATTCTCGTCTGTAATGAAATGCAGAGCACAGACAAAAATGCCTAAAGTTTTTTTAAGGTGGAATGAAGAGCACATGAGACATCATCATCGTCCAATATTAATACGAAGCACGATTACGTTACTGTTCGCCTGTAAAATCAACATTTATCTTCATGTAGAGATCCATGATCGGTTTCATGCTGTGAAAACAGATTATTTGCGGATACAAATATTTAATTGAGAGAAAATTAGTTGACCAACTATTCATTATTTAGGTGGTTGTTTCCTTTTCCTCAACATGACCTAAGGCTCAGGGAAATTGAGATTTTCAATTTTAGAGGCTAGCCAATGAAACAATTAATTGAAAAAATAATTGAAATATAAATTGGGAATGAAAATAAATGTGAGTTGCAGCCCTAAAGGCACAAATCAGGACTTGTATGATGACATCCCAGAAGAGGATGTTTCTGTTGCTTCAGGAGTAAGAAAATAGAGAATGACTTTTCTAGTATCCCTTATCTCAGGTCTTCTTGATCAGCACTGGACAGGAGATTTCACGGCAGCGGGGTGTCGAGGGGGATGCCGGGAGGATTTTCTACAAATCCAAGTCTCAGCCTGTTCCTCAAGATATCCTCCTACGATGTGACCTTTGCTTTTGCTCCTCCCAGCTGCTCCCTGAATAAAGCTCTCTGATCCCGGTGGAGCTTATCATCGAAATCTGCCTGGGTCTCCTCTCTCTTTGTGGCAGAAAGTAATTACACTGTGTCAGAGAGCCGTGGAGGTGAAGGTAAGGGAGGAGAATCATCACCCACCGCATGAATGAGAGTGTGTCCTCTGGTGAGAGTGGTTCAAATCACACTGGTGGAGAGAATGGCCTCAGATAGGGACTTTGCCTCAAACAGGACCCCTCGCTGCTCTCCTCCTGGCCCCACTCCACCTCCGAGCTGCTTTAAAACGGGACTTCAGAGTGACAGAAGTGTTTCATACTGGCACGTTCAGCGGCTCGGACCAGATGGAGTCTTTGTTCTTCCTCTCAAAAACACACACATTACACTGACACGTGCAAATGGTCACACACACACATGCATGCACACTTCCTCACCAGCGTAAAGCCAGGATCACGATGACAGGGGGTGGTGCGATTCTCTTGTCCTCCGCCGTGTTCACATTAGTCATATGCAAATCAGCATTGTGCACATAGAATGAAAAATCCACCGTGTCTAAATCCTTCAAAGAAGACTGGTGGCGGTTATTTAGTTAACACGATTTATTAAGGTGTTTGACCCAGTTAGCAGCCGGTAAACGGTGCTTGTTTCAGATGTTTGGACAAATGGAATCTGTCGGGATGTAAAGAGGATTAAAATGAAAAGGAATGCATTCATGTTTACTAAAAACGTGTGTGAGGTATTTTTTTAGACGAACATTGAAGGAGAGAATGGTGAAACTGATAATATCCATTGGGATGTTCATCTAATTTTCATCACTATTTTCTCATATTAACCACAACTTGAGCTCACATTATTTGTATTTGTTTCGCTCTGGATCCATCATGTTTAGGTGTTACTGGAAGTTTTTTCCAAATGAATCATGACCTTCTATTTTATTTTATTTGGGAATGCATTCCATGTCACACAGGATTGCCAAGAAAGCATTCTCGATTTGAATGATTGCGAATACAGAGTTTTTTGGATCACAGTTTTGCATTTTTAAAGTCTAATTGATGCCAAATAAGTAATACGCTGGCACACTCGAAATGTGTTACTGGTTGTCTTTTACTTCTACTGATGTTCAAGCTTCAACAATGCCTCTTCATGATGAGTCTGACTCCCAGGACGGACAGATGGCAGTATGTATCGTGTGTATACATTTGAAATGATAATACCTTTTCCAACATAAACAGTCCAAATGTGAGAAAAGATAATCTGCCACTCTCATTTGAGCAGTGAGTCTTCTCTTGTACGTTCACTTGGCTTTGAAGAGTTCAAATCTACTGGATTTGATTCATCTTTCTTTTGTTGCAAAACTGTTTTCTGACAACATAGACATTTGAATCAGACTCAATGTAATTAGGATTTGGATCAGGATGGTGTTGATATAGAAGGGGAGAACAGACCAAATGAGCAAAAGGAGAGAGATTCACTGACTTTTGGCATTTCCTAATGTTCCAGATGTCATACTTCGAGCATCATCCCCGGCTAATTCAGGAAAGAGGGTGTTCGAACATTTCTGACAGGAAACAGCAAGTGACCTTTAAGCTGGAAAAGCTTGGCTGGTATTGCGTCCTCGCTTTCTTGTCTCTGTCAGATCCGGAGGTGCTGAGCAGAGACACATCCTTTAGTTCAGGTGAGTATGAAATGCCAGTCTGTCAGCTCCGGTCTAATCTGAGCTGTGCAATGTGGTATAAGCAAAAAAAAACTCTGCTACAATCGGCCCATCTAGTGATTCAAGTCAAAGTAACCTTCACTGATGCAGGTTTCTCGGAAAAACCAACACATCCATGAAGTATTGGCATCATAAGTATTGACAAGAAGTATCTGAGCATTTCTCACAGTTAATAGCACTAACATCTTAACCCTTTCTCCCACATAAGGAACTCTTCTGGTTTGAACACATCCTGTAAATGTGTGTGATGTGAAAGTTGTCACATATGCACAGTTTGAATCACCATTGTTATCATTAAATGGATAACATGAATAAAACCTTGGACAATCATTCCTTAATTTAACATACTCAATAACTGGAGGTGTTGTGACATTTCAGATTTTTCAGGAAGCTCAAATTAATATCCCTTCATGACTAATACCTGACCTCGCCGAGGTGAAAACTCCTAGTTAAAATACATATCAAGAGTTTCTCTGCATTATTCATCACAGGCTGACCCAGGTCTACTTATGAAGGGCAATAAGAAAACATCAGTGAGCTTACCATCAGGATTTTAGATGAGTGCAGCCGGTTCAATCATGTGACATTTATCTTCTGTTTGAAAAGCAAATGGTAATCTGACATCAGAGCCTTTATATATGTATGGCTTAAAGGGACAGTTAACATAACCTAGCAATTATTTTCTTTCTTTATACATCTAGATGTTTGTGTAGTTGCGAAATCTGGAAACTTCCCAGGAATATAATGGAACTACATTGCACTCAGTTTGTGGTGCAAAAAGGACAAAATAAATACTGAAATGTCTCTTCCAGAAATCAAGACACTGTTACTCTAAAATAATCGACAGACATGGTTGTGAGCAGCTTCATGTAGGAACTATTTTCTATACCC